CACATTGCCGGAATTAGGACTGGTACGATAGAGGTGGATTATCCCTTCTGCTAGTGTAGTATTTCCAGAGGATTCGTTTATAGCTGTGAAAGAGGCGGTGGCAGGCTCTTGTAACGTTTGTTAGAGATGCCACCCTGAGTGTGTTGTGCACGACATACCTTTTCCGTGACCTGTACTGCCCTTCTCTTTATCCTTCCCTTTTTCATTACTTTCCATATCAACCCAATCAATAGTGATGGGCCCAAATCGGGGGTCCCTTGTTGCTACGACGGGGGGTTGTTTGGAATCTCGATGTTTAACAGGTTGTTTATCAGGAAGTTTATCGAATATAGAAGAAGGGAGCCTAGTTTTAGATGAAGGTATCAGTCTGAGGCGAATGGCAAAGTCATGCATGTAGGGAACAGAGGCTAATTAGGAAGTCGTGGCTTTGTCACTTGCCACCAATACTATCTGTGCTTTTGATATTGTCATCAAAAAACTGTCGTACTGATTGATGACTGTAAGCGGTCCTGTTGATGTCTATTTTCTTCACTTGAGGCCTCATTCAAGTCAGGAATGTTATAGATAAGTTACATGAGTTCAATAATACAAATGCCTCTATAGATGATATCAGCACCCACAGCTTCAAAGTAGCTAATCAATAACCCCGAGGTGATCCTCCTTGATGGTAGCAATGGCAAACTATAAGTCATTGTTAGAACATGGTTAGTCCATCGAGAGGAATGTGTATACTATTTCGGTCTGGTCAACGCGAGTTCCCACTACTTTCAGGCGTACTTTGGTATCTTTTTCGATCACCTGTGGTGCTTTAATCTTGATGAACAAATCGGAGGGACAAGTCATACCTGCTCTGCCGACGAAAAGGAAGGAACCGCTGCATTGGCATCAAACCTCATGTCGGCGTGTACCAACTAAATATTAAGGTTAATAGTGCTGTCTAAATAATATTTTTCGTTTGGTTACCTGCTGAGAGACGAAACACCGCAAAGGTCCTACTTCCACAAAAAACCCAGCCTATTCAAGTATATTCTTCATGTTAAATGAACAATTGACTCAAAAGATGAAGGACTGACTCGTAAGACATTTGTGACCACCCCATCAAGCACTTCTCCCTTGAATGGTTTGAAGACGATGGCCTTGTAACGCGTTTTGAACTCCGCTTGCCCATTTCCAGGAAGAACAACTCCTGGACCGACGTCTATGATTTCTAAAACAGCTATAATGAACCCATATTGACCGGTACACGTTCCTTGAACATCAGAATGCAGCTTTGCCTCAATGATTTCAAGCATCCGAGGTCCAAAATACGAAGGATGCATGAGAATGGTGTGTGTGAGCTCTTTCTGCTCAGAAAATGAGTGAACAGATTGTGGTCTTTGATTGATGACATACAATGAAGAACATGGCTGATGTCAAGTTCTGTCTACAGTTTGCGTAGAGGCGGCCAACAAATTTTAGACACCACCAAAATGGGCCAGACTAGCTCAGCAGCCTCTGAAGTGAATACTTCTCCTGTTAATCAACAACCTCCAGCTCGTTGTCCTGTAGATCATTCAGCTATGCAAAAGACAACTGCACAACCGCCTGCAGAATGTCCAGTCAAGCACGATGTCAACCCACGAAACCAAATGCCCACACTTGAACAACATCCTATTTCATCAAACCAAGCAGCATCGCTATCAACTGAACGTGTTTCATCGACCATACCTCGTGATTCGCAGGCGACGTGGGATTATCCTTCCCCCCAGCAGTTTTATAACGCACTTGTTCGGAAAGGATGGGAAACTCCCGAGGAACACATCGATACCATGGTTGATATCCACAATTTTTTGAACGAACAGGCATGGGAAGAGGTCCTGAAATGGGAGAAACGTATCGACAAGTAAGCCACCATGCTAAAACGGTGTCACATCTCTGCTAACGAGAAAAAGTGCCGGGAATGTACAACTATCTCGCTTTCAAGGACGTCCAGGCCAGATCTCCCCCAAAGCACGGTTCTTCATGTTTGCCGGTCGAATATTTCCGTCTCGCTTCAGGTGAGAAAGACATGAAATCTCACTAAAATGACTACTTGAGCATATCTCCATAGCTCCGAACCTCCATTTGATCGTCATGACTGGATTGTACGACGAAAGACTGGGGAGGAAGTTCGATATGTCATAGATTACTACTCCCTTCCCGACCAGCCCGATGGCACACCGGTCTTTTCTCTCGACGTTAGACCTGCTCTAGATTCAGTATCCAGTATTAAAGAGCGTATCTCTGTCGCAGCAGAAGAAGGCTGGGCTAAAATTCGTCAGAACCCCGAAGTGACTACAAGATAGATTGCTAGACAGGCATATTTAATTCGGTATTGTTACTTTTCAGAGAGCATATAATAGAATCTGTGATTTAATCGAGTTTCCCACAAGCAGCCTCTAAGATTACCTTTACCCCCCATGCACCTTGCGAGCATCCATGATCAGTGGTCTATATCGGTCAGTTAAACCCACTCACCTGGGTCATAATTATCGATTAGGCTATCTTGTGGAACGTAGGCTGCTCGGCCGGCCTTTGCTGGTAAATTTTTAGTCGCCTCAGCGGCGTTGGCAGCTTGTAGGTGGGCCTCTTTCCATCCCCTACCCTCTTTCAGTGCAACAACAAACGCACCTAGAGGATCGACCAGTGTTCGACTTGGTGGTCGCGCTCTGGTGTAATTATATAGCCGATCCAAAGCCTTCGAAAGCGTGGTAGCTGCAACGTCTCGATCCCACTGGACTTCTCCATTAGGCACATGGTCATATAAGGCCTGGACCAAAGCCGAGAAGAATATACTTCGAGATGTGCATCAGTTTCAAGTCCAATCTCTGCTAGTATCACATGTCACAGGAACGTAGACTAACCAGTATAATGCACCACTCGTCCCGTCCATGTGCTCTTCAACAGCCAGGCTGATAGCCTTTACATCAT